TGGCCCAGGCACTGAGCTGGAACGATGCAGCAATTCTCAATCTCAGCAAGGCTCTCGTTTCCCACCGGGGAAATCCTAGTCATCTCTCTCCCTTCTCATAGGAAATGAGTGTTTCAGACTTTCTCCACGAGCCTCAAACGAGCGCAAGTCACTCCCACACAGAAGAATGAAGACAGCCCTGGAAACTACTCAGATGCCCATCAGTCGATCATGGACTGCTCTACAGCGGAAAGAGTGAACGTAAAACCGCGTGCAACAATATGGATGAATCCTACGGACGTGATGTGATGTGGAGTGAAAGAAGTAAAACTACAACAGAGGATAGATATGATTCCTTTGATGCGAAGTTCAAAAATGGGCAAAACTCTCTACGGTGATAGAAATCAGACTAGTAGTTACCCTTGGGAATAGTGACTGGAAGGGGGCACAGGGGGCTTCCAGGGCGGCAGCCATGTTCCATTTCTTAATCTTCGTTTTAGTTCCTAATCCTATACGGCTGTGTTCCCTTGTGAAGATGTATCAAGCTGTATCACTGAGGACATGTGCCCTTTCGGTATGCATATTATATTTTCAGTATAAAGTAAATAGCTACAAAAAGAAACCAGCCCCTCCCAGGTCTCTTTCTCCCGACCCCACCCCTCACCCCCTTTCAGAGCCAAGTTTCTGGAAGAGATGTGTGCTTCCATTTCCTCTCCACACCCACCCACTCCTCTTCCCATCCTGGACCGCCTTGTGCACCCACCACTCCCCTGCTGGTCTGGACGAGGTCACCAGTGCCCCCCTGCTGCTGAGTCCAGTGTCCACCGTTTAGTCCTTATCCTGCTAGATCTCATGAAGCTTTTCATTTTGTGGCTCTCTTCCTCTTCCTTAAGCCCTTCCTTCCCTTGGATTTCAAAAGGCAACATGACCTTGCTTTGCAGCCTATCTCCTTAGCTGCACATCTTATTTTTCCCACATCGGATCTTTCTTCCTGTCCTCAAGTGGGGCTCATTCTCCCAGCTCTTGGGCTACGTGCACCTCCCACAGTTCAATGTCATCTCAATGTTGCCAGCTTCCTTATCTCCCCCTTATCCAAATGGCTATTCTGAGCACCAGGCCTGTATATCCAGCTGTGAGTGTTGCCTCGCAGAACCGAGGGATGACGCAGAGCGGGCCATCGGGGATGTGCTGACTTGGTAGTCCCCAGACTGAATTCCGCACTTTCCTCCTCAAACTGGACTCCCCCGAGTCTCAGCCCACTCCACGACAGCCCACCAACTATTTGTTTACTCATTTCTTGGAGACAAACTAGGAGTCGTCCTGGATGCCACTGGTTCTGTCACCCTCCACATCCGCCAAGCCACCCACTCCTGTCCCCTCTGGATCCTGCCCCCTCTCCTCCACCCGCACAGGTAAAATTCAGGTCCGGGCTGTCACCAACTCAACTCGAACCCCACTGCAGCTTCCTAATGGATTCCGTGTCTCCACCATTACCCGCAATGGCCCATTCTTTATTCAATAACAATATTGCTTTTCGTAAAATTCCAGTCACCTGACAATGCCCAAAATGGCTTTATTTATTGAGTGCTTTCTATAGGCCAGACACTGGGCTTAATTAACAAACATCGTTTCATTTTATCCTGGCAACAACCCTGCAGCGGTAAGTCCTATGAGCCCTATTTCACAGATGAGAAACCTGAGCTAACTGTCTGTGTGACCTTGGGCAAGACATCCCTTCACCTTTCCGTTCTTCAGATCCACATCTGTTAAATGAGGATAATACTAACAGCAACAGCAACTCTCCCACAGGGCTGTTGGGGCAATGAAACGAGGCAGGATCTGGGGAAGGGAGAATTGTGCGTGGAGTATGGAAGTTGGGGTAGACACACTCACTCTGTGAACCCACAGCAAATGTTAACTCCTGTTGTTGACATGTACTAATCTGCCCAGTATTATAGCTGGTAAATGGCAGGGTCAGGATTCGAACCCAGGAGGCCAGTCCCAGGACTCTCAGTCTTTCACATCCCTCTAGTCTGACTCTTGCGAAATACCCATGGGTAGCCTCCTGCCCCAAAGATAAACGTCAAGACTCTCTGACATGTCCCACAAGACTGTCCCTTCCCTTGTATACCCTCAGTCACTCCTGCCCCACAGGCCCCTGCCGCCCCAGGGTCTTTCTGTTCCAGCTCTGAGACCCCCTCTCGACACGCGGCAGGCTCTTCAGCATTTGAGCAGCAGCCCCCATTGCGCCTATGCCCCCTTCTGACTACTCTCACCCTGACCAGCTCCCTCTCCTTTTTCAAGTCTTGCCCCAAGACTCCTTCCTCCAGGAAGTCTGCCCGGGGTTGGTTTCCCCTTTCAGGCCTCTCATAGCTTCCTCCCTCCGATCCTTGAGGCCACATAACTAGGATGTCAGTTCTTTAGGGTCTGTCTTCCACCCACACTGTGACCTCTGGGGGCTGGAGCCTGTCTGCCTGGCTCACCATTGTACCCTCTGGGCATGCACCAGGGCGGGCGATGAAGGAGGTGGGGGTGGAGTACGTGTGGGGGGCTGACTGAACCGGGCTGCCCAGACCCCAAGCAGCAGAGGCTGAGCAGTTGCAGGGGTAGAGTTCAAGTCTGGAACACCCTAACTTTCCTACCCCACATGTAAGTTTCCTTGTCCCTTCCCCACTTTCTGATTGTATCAGCAAGTAAGGTTTTGCTCCCTGGAGATGAGGCAGGGTGGGGGTCCCCTGCAAGTCTGGAACTGAGTGGGCTTGATTTCCTTTCTCTGACTGGGGTTTTGCTGCCACCAACCCCCTAGGCCCACAGGGCCCAGGATGTGCTACTGTTGGCCCAGACTCCTCCCAAGTGACCTTCGGAATGTCCATCCGAGTGACCATTTCACAGAGTGGATAGACAGGATCTCCCCTGCTGCAGAGGAGGGAAAGAACTGAACCCCTTGAATCCACCTGAACTGGTGGGGGGCTGGCTGTTAAGAACCAGTGGACTCTCTGGACGTGTGAAAGGACAGGGTCCCAAAGATGACAGGGCCTGCAGAACAGCCTCTTGGGGCAGCCCGCAGTGGAACTCTGGCCACGTCATGGCTCCAGATCCTGTGGCCTTCAATATCCCCACAAACTGGTGCATTTTCGTGGGGCAGGAGGTCCCCCCACCTGCACTCAGTGGTGTACCAGCTCAGCAGTGTACCAAGCCAATCGCCTGGCTGGGAGTCCCAGTCCAGCTCCGCCCCGCGGCCCAGCAGCGGCGCCCCAGCCCGACTGAGGTAAACAGAAGCTAAAAATAATCCGGGCAAGGGGGGCTGCAAGGGAGAATGGGGTCCCTCCTGAGCCTGCCCCTGTATCCATAGCAATGCCCCAACCCCGGCTGCTGACGTCATGCCAAGCTGCGAGAACCCGGAGGGAGGGGGGCGATGCATGACCCGGGACCCCCCACCCAGGAACCAGGCGGAGGCAGCCGGGTGGCCTCACTTCCTGCCGGCCCCCTCCTAGTCAGCTGGTCACATTCCCCAACCCGCAAGCTTCATGCTGGAGCCTGGTGGCCTCCCCCCGCCAGGCCAGGGGCGTGAGTCGGCCAGGCTAGGGGCGTGAGTCCCAGACTCTGCGAGGGGTTGCCTGACTCACCCGCACCCCTCCTGCCAGCTTTTCCACCCCGGAGGAACCATCCTGGCGCCCTTCGTGATCCTCCCACCCCATCTCAAGTCCAGGCCCGGTTCTCTGGCTGTTGCCTCACAGAATCCAAGACCCAAAGTGAGGGGTGAAGTGGGATCTAGGTCTTGCTGGAGTATTTTGCTCCTCACTCCCTGGTCTGATTCTCATCTTCCCCCCGCCCCTCCGCCTCCACGACACGGAGGTGGATAGTGCAGTGGCAAGATTTCAAATCTGGGCCTAATTCCCACGTCTCCTCAAATCAGCTGTGTGACTTTTAGACCATTACTTAACCTCTCTGGGCCCGTTTCTGCATCTGACAGATTGTCATAACCTTCCTAAGAAGGCTGTGCCGGTGCTGAACTCTGCAGGCTCAGGGCGAGGCCTCACACGGATGTTGCCCAAGACACTGTTATTGTTATATTAGACTGCACACAGTAGGTGCTCAGCCAGCCAGCCTAGTCACGCATTAGGAGCAGCCCAGCAGAACTGGCCGGGAAGAGTCAGTCCCAGAAGCTGCATTCAGACCTCACCGAGGAGAGGAGGGCAGAGGGGGCTGAGACCCGACTTAGCTCTGGTGAGCAGCTCCTTCCCCAAACCAGTTCTGCAGCGTGTCCAGGTCTGGCCGCTTGCAGAGACCCCACACCAGCCTCCCATTTCCAGGGACCGGATCTGTTCTCCCACCTCTCACGAGCGAGCCTCTCCGGCTTCAGAAGCACCAGGCTTGGGCAATGATTCCGGCCCCCGGACCAGGCTCGGACACCACGGGCAGGGCCCCAAAGCGGCTTAGGCCGGGCCGTAGGGCCGAGAAGCTTAGCTCATCTCGGAGGCCGACTTGCGCCCATTGTCGACCCCTCCCCATTCCTAGTTCAGCTTCCCTAGCGGCGAAGGCAGCCAGGGCTCCCGGAAAGAGACCGTGCCAGGGCCCAGGCTGGCGCCGAGGGCCCGCCCTCAGGCCTGGCCCACTCCAGAGCCCCGGGGCACCGGCAGCCTGGGCCTTGCGGTGGGTTGGAAGGAGGCAGCGCCGGGCGCGGCAGGCCCGGAGGCGGCGGCTTTTGTAGGGCGAAACTGTGTTCTCCGCGCGCAGAGGGAGGGGGAGGAACGACACCGCGCGGCCGGGGTCCGGGTCCGGGGTGATGTGGACAGGGCCGCAGCCGGGACAACAGATCCCCGACCTATGGAGCGGCACTGGCGGGGGAGGCACCGGAACCGCCGCTCCAGCCCCCCTCCCGGCCCACGGCTCCCGGATACGGCGGGGACACTCACATGGCTGAGCTGGGCTACGCGGACCTCGAGCTCTCCGTGCGCTCTTCGCTGCCCGGCCTGGTCGCACCGCAGCTGCTGCCGTCGCCGCCGCCGGCGCCCGCCCCTCCCAGCACCCCGCCGCCCGGCGGTCCCGCTCCTCCCCCGGCCCTCTGGGCCCCACCCCCTGCGTTCCCGCAGCTCCAGCACCCCTGGAGGCGCCTACAGCTCGCTCCACCCTCTCGGGTAACCCAGCAGCTGGCGGCCCCCTGAGTCCACCAGCTTGCGGGTAGGCGGGACCCTGGAGGACGCTAGGGCGGCGAGAGCGCTTTGGACCGGAGGGTACAGGGTGGCTTTCGGAGAACGGGTCGTCAAGGCAGCCCCATTCCTTCCCACGCAGACCCCAAAACCGGGTTCGTCGGAGAGCCCGGTTTGCCGGTCCCCTGCTCAGATCCCGTGGCCTCTAGAGACCTTTCAGCGCCCCTCCCCCCAAGCCCCTTCAGTGACCGCCTGAAACAGGTCCCGGAGCTGCCAGTGTTGGGTGGGGTTGGGTGGGGTTGGGTTGGTTCGAAGAGGGAATCAGGGCCAGTTCTGTTTCAGGGAGGGAGGCGCGAATCCTAGTCCTCGAAGCCCTTCTGTGTCCAGACGCTGCCTTTCCACCCTGCTTTCCAGGCCAGCCTCGGTTTCTCTGCTGTGGAGACAGGTTGCCCGTCCTGCCACCATCTGGGCTCTTAGCCAGGCCATGCAGTCACCACTCATTGGGTATGATTTCTGGGAAGTCTTAGGTCCTGCTCTTAGCATGGGTGAGTTAACTGCGCTTGGGACACATGTTGGCCAAGGGGGCCAGAGCCCAGTTTTTTCCAGTGAGGGGTCTGGAGTGCTGACTGGCGTTCCGCTAGAGGGGGCTGAGTGGAGCTGGGAGCTGACCCCACATTTCTGTCAAAGGGCCAGTGCCAGTCCCCCATCCCTCCCAGCAATGAGAGGCCTCTGGCCCTCTTCAACCTTGAATGCCCTGGTCACCTTCAGAAGTAGCACGGACGTGGCCAGAAGTGCTTTGAGGACTTTAAGAGGTTCCTCAATATACTCCTGAGAGGTTCCCGAATATTTTCCTGAGAGGCTGGGGGGAAGGGGCACAGAGGCCCGCAGGGCGCTGCCGCCCTGTCCCTCACCCGTCCTCACCAGGCACACACCTAACCCACTCCCTGCTCTCCGGCCACCTCTTCATCTCCCTTGGCAGAACTCCCTTCTCCGCAGTTCTGAGGTCTGGGGATCGCTTCCAGGGCCCGAGTTCCTCATTCCCCCTACCCTGGAATACAGTCCAATCTCAGGGCTGCCATCCACCCGAGGCCGCCCTGTGCGTCCAGAGCCTTCTCCTGTCCTGGGGCTTCTGGATGGCACACCAGATCTCATGATCCTCCCTCGAGGGACTCTTCCTTTGTCCCTACATCTACAAAGCACTGTTGTCCCCCCAAGCTTGCACCTGAGCCACATACTGGACCTCTCAGAACTGACACCCATCGGTTCCTGCCCATCTCAGCCAGGCATCCTCAGACCTCCTTGCCTGAAGACGGTCCCTCCTTGTTGCTCTCTGTCCCCATGTCCAGTGGACTCATGCCTTCATGTCCCTCACCACCACCAGGTAGCATGCATGCCCATAGTTGCTCATGTGCCTAAACCTACCTCGCTGTGGGTCTCTAAGCTCTGTGGAGGCGAGAGCCATGGAAGTCCTCATCACCATGTTTCTGGCTCAGAGTGGGAGTTTAAGAAATAGCAGGGCCCGGGAGACTAATGGTGGGGGTTGGGGGAAAATGGGGACAACTGTAATGGAACAACAATGAAAAAATTTTGAAAAATGAACTACATATCATCTAGAAAGGAAAAAAAGCCCTGGCTGGTGTGGCTCAGTGGATTGAGCACTGGCTTGCAAACCAAAGGGTCACCAGTTTGGTTCCCAGTCAGGGCACATGTCTGGGTTTCGGGCCAGGTCCACGGTGGGGAGCACGTGAGAGGCAACCACACATTGATCTTTCTCTCCCTCCCTTCCCCTCTCTCTAAAAATAAATAAATAAAATCTTAAAAAAACAAACAAAACTATAAATCAGTTCACGCTGACCCCTGGCGCCCTGAGGCTAAGTCCAGACTCTGGTGGGCTGGGACATCCGGCCGCGGTGACCTCAGCCCCTCAGCTCCCGCCCGTCCTGCCGGCCTTTGCTGCTCCAGTTCCCCCGCACCAACCCACCTGCTGCTCCCTGGACCTGGCCCCACTCTGGTTCCTACCTCCTCTCTCTATGGTTCCTACCTCCTCTCTCAGCCTCCCTTCTGCCTGGGGTCTCGCTCTCCCTTATCTATTTGGGAAGCAGTTCAGATGTCACCTCCTCTAAGAAACCTGTGTGCTCTGGTTTCCCACTCGCTGCTCCCCCTTTTTGTCTTCTTAAATTTTTTTTTTAATTTTAGAGAGGAAGAGGAAAGGAGAGAGAGCATGACATTGATTTGTTGTTCCACTTGTTTATGCTTTCACTGTTTGATTCTTGTATGTGCCCTGACCAGGGATTGAATCCACACACTTGGCGTATCAGGATGATGCTCTAACTAACTGAGCTGGCCGGCCAGGGCCCATTCACCCTTTCTACGCCCGCGCCACCTGTGACCAGGCCGGCCTCCCCAACCTGTGCCCACCAGGGCCCGGCATGGATGGGGCTATAGTGAGCAGACGGGACACTCCTTTGCCTGCCCCTCTCTGCCTATCCAGAGGCCGTGAGTGGGGGGCAGCATCTGAGGGCCGCAGGGTGCTGGAGGTCTCATGGCCTCTCCCCAGCACCCAGTGAGCCAGGCGAGGAAGGACAGTGCTGAAACCCATTTCGCAGGACTGTCGCCTGAGGCTCAGGGAAGGCAGGGCCTTTCTATGGTCCTGTCATCCAAAAGGGGTGGTCTCCGAGCTCCTGCTAAGTACTCCGAGTCCTCAACAGTCGGGGTCTGAGTCAAGCGTCATTTCCTGAGCATATGCTCTGCCTGGCGCTGGGCTGGGATCTGGGGCAGAACTCCCTTCCTGGCCGTTTCTACCTCGAGCAGTTCACGCTCCTGAAGGGTAAGCTCTGGCCTCCGAAGATTCCTCATTAGACGTCAGAGGGGGTCGAGATCCACAGTGAACCTACGGTCCTTGCTTATGGCACAGCTAGTTCCATCTTTGGAAGCAACACTGTTCAAGTCCCAAACTCCAAAAAAATGGAGGCATCCCTCACCCCACCTTCCAGGCCCCGTGGCTACAGCCCTCTGGATGCAACTGCGCCCCTGCCAGCTTTCTGTAAGGGGACAGAAGAAAGCCTGCCCATGATCACGCCCTGTCCCCGTGCCTCAGACCAAGTGTAGCACTCATCACCAGGCATTCAGCAAGCACTTGAGGAGGCTGCTGTGTGCTCCGCCCTGGGGGGTGGGGATCAGTCCTGCGGGGCCAGAAGTGAGGCCACATGGTCACTGCCCATGGAGGCTCACTGTCGGTCAGGGCAGGCACATCCCGGAGTCTCTGCACCTCTGTCACCAGTGTGAGGTGTGCGTGGCCTTGACTGTGTCTCTGTGCACGTGTGTGGGTGTGAGAGTGTGTGCTTTGTGGGGAAGGCGCCCTTAACATGGCAAGTTGTTGGGGCTCCCTAGGCAGGCGGAGGAGCATGTTCTCCGAGGAGCATCTGGGGCAGAGAGTGCAGCACAGTTCAAGGGATTGGGGGGAGGCCCCTCCAAAAGCTGTCTGCAGCCTCCTTTGCTGGCAGAGGCAAAAGCTTGATATGGCAGGAGAACCGAGTGAGTTTGTGTTGGGGATGGGGCCAGTCATGAGAGGCCCTGGGAACTGGCCGAGGTGACAGGGAGGTTACCCTTGGTGATGGGGAGTCTGCGCTGTAACCTGGGGAATTCTGTGGTCAGATCTGTGCTTTGCAAGGGTCACTCAGGCAGTGCACAGAGGGAGCAGGTAGTGGCCAAAAAAAGGCTGCTATTGTTTTCCAGCCGAGGTCATGGTGGTTGGAGAGGCGGCGGAGAGGAGACATTCGAGAGATGCTCACAAAGCAGAACGGAGTGACCGATGGGATGGGGGTCTGGAGAGGGGGGTAGCCCAAATGATGCCCAGGTTTGGTCCCCGGGTGATGGGGAGATGCCGGTGTCTTACAACGACATGGGAAGGCCTAGAGGATCAAGTTAGAAGAAGATGAAGAAGGTGAAGTGGTCAGTTTGGGCAGGTGGCAAGTGAGGAGTCTGAGGACCATCCATCCGGGAGGAGGTGCCCAGAAGGCAGCTGGATGTGTGGGTAGAGGGAAGAGGCTGGAGACAGCTTTTGGAGGGGACAGTGGTCAACTGGCTCACCAAGAGGTCAAGGGAGAGAGGGCCCCATGTGCCGTGCCGTGCCCTGCTAGAGCACTCTAGTGTGCGGTGGGGGCAGATGCAGGCTCAGGAGGAGTAAATGTGGAACTCATGGGTATGACTGTACCTGCTGTCAGCCTCCACCCACCTTCAGCCCAGCCTGGACCCTGCTTCCCACAGCGTGTGCCAAAGGGCAAGGGCCAGGGACGCTGCCCCATGTTCGAGCCCTGCCCTCACCACTGTTGCCTTGTGGTTCCTGGAGCCTTTTCTACTTTTCGATGCTTTAACCGCTCCCATCTATTCACTCATTAAAATCGCAACTTTAAGAGGCACTTCATCTCATTAATAACCGATGCAATGCAGACGTGAACAGCAACGGGAGACACACTTAGTGTTTGGCCTCTGAGATAGGCAGTGATGGACATGACGTGTGAGTGGCCCCCCCCGCAAGAGAGTGGGAATTGTTTTGAGTGTTTAAGAGCAGTATTTTCAGGATGTCAAGGGCAAACTCCCTTTTTACCCTTCAGTTCCATTTCACGAATTTATTCCAAAGAGTTGTAGAGGCAAGAAAAGATCCGTTTAAGGCTTGTTTACTCAGGGATCAAGGGACCAACCACCCCCAGCGGGAGACAGAGGGCTGCAAGGGGTTCGCCAACATCCTGAGATGCTCCCTGGCACTGAAGGCGGATGTCAGGCGTGGACTGAGCACTTACTATGTGCCCGGCACCATTCTGCATGCCGGGCTCACAGAAGCAGGCTAGACCGGCAAGGTCTGCTCTTTGGGGTTTCCACTCCAGCCAAAGGAGATGCGTTAGTAAGATGGCTTCAGAGAGAGGAAGGGTTGTGGAGAAAATGAACCAGGTAATGTGATGTGGAGGGACAGGGCTGGTCAGGGTGGTTAGGGAAGGCCTCTTTGAGACAGTGCCATCGTAGCCAAGACCTGAACAACAAGGAGGGAGCAGCCGTTGACTGACCCAGCCAGAGAAAGAGGGAGCAGCAGGGGCAACACCTCAAAGGTAAGCCTGCTGTGTAAGCCTGCTGTGTCTGAGTCACAGGGGCTGCAGTAGAAAGGAAGGGGAGGTGGCAGGGTCAGGCCAGGCAGGGTAGGAGACAGGGTTATTTATTTTTAGAGAGAGGGGAAGGGAAGGAGAAGGAGAGGTAGAGAAACATCAATGTGTGGTTGTTCTCACGTGCTCCCAACTGGGGACCAGGCCCGCAACCCAGTCATGTGCCCTGACTGGGAGTCAAACCTGTGACCCTCTGGTTTGCAGGCCTGCACTCAGTCCACTGAGCCACAATAGCCAGGGTGGAGGCAGGGGTTTGTATATGAGTAGGGAAAGGCTCTCAGCACAGCAGACGCAGAGCCGTGGCCAGCACGCGAGAACAGCTGGCTGGTCTGTAGCAGGAGTCTCCCCAGGTGAACCTGCATCCCTCAGGCCTGAGAGTTGTCAGGAGACTCATCCCTGCACCAGCAGTGGCCATCATTTCTGGACATAGTGATTTCACCCAGTTTTATTTTCTTCTTCGTATTTACTTATACAAAAAATGGTTTGCAATGAACATGTTATTTTCAAAGACAACATGACCGTTGCTTATTCAGGCATTTCCAGGCCAGCTCCTGCAGCTGGTAGGTGTTAGTTCAGAGTCACCAGGCTCAACTGGTGACTTCCCTGGGGACTCTGCCCCAGGCTGGGCTGTGTTGTCTGTCACTGGCCAGGCTGATCCAGCTTCAGCCTCCAGGGGGACTGTGAGCAGGGCCATGCTGGGGTGGGGTGTCTGTGTCCTGCTGGCTGGACCAGGCGTCCTTCCTTCCTTCCTGACTCCCTTCTCCTAAGGGACAAGTGGGAGGGACGCCTGTACCTCTTTCAGATCATTGGATGAGCTGCTCCCCAGGGACCCTTTCAGGCGGAGGGGGTGGGGTCTCCCCTGACAAAGGCTGCAGTGTGCGGTGTGTCGTCTGTTTTAGAGTTCCTACTGCTAGGAACTGTTCTGACAGAGATTTAGATGCCATAGTGGTGGGAAGAATCCTAGCCACGGACCCCTGGTAATACCCCCCACTCATCTGACTGTGACCCTAGGGCAGAGGACCCCCAAATAGACCCCATCCCTGGCCCATTCAAGCTTCAAGTACAGCGTTGGTCTTTGGCGCCACCGTGTGGGAAGTATCCACACTGCAGTTACAGGCTTTACAAAATAACCCCAGCCAGCTCCAGGAGGTTCCCCTTGGCCCCAAGTGGTTTTTCCCCTAGTGGACGATCCCTGAAGCGTGCTGTGCACGACCTGTTCAGCCCTGTGTGGTGGCCCTGCTCACACTCATATCCGCTCGCAGATCATGGTCCTTGGGAACCCCATCGCCACCATTAAAACTTCCTCCACACTGCAGCCTCTTTGTAAACGAACGCTCCCGGACCCTCCACTTCTGGGTCCCCCCATCCTTTGACCGGTTCCAGGAGTGCTGGACAGAGAGGCAGACCAGCTCCCTGTTCTGAAACCCGCCCTGGTTCCTTAGACAGCTCCTCTTAGGTTTCCAGCTGCTTCTCTGGCTCTCCTCATGCCCCTCGGTGGGCTGCCTTGGGGTGTTGGGCCCCCTTCCCTCAACCCTGATACTTTTCTGCAGGCCATCTTGATAATTCCTAGGGCCTTGTTTCTATCCCCACTGGGGTGCTTGTGACTCAGCCACCTATCTCTCACTCTAGTCCTGATTCAAGATGACCCTTGGGCACCCTGAACTCACTGCATAAAGTTGACCCCCATCTGCTCTCCTAAGAAATGTCCCCCTTCCGAAGGCCTTTCCCCTGAAACCCCATCAGCCATCAGGTCTGCCCCGTCCTCCCCAGCCCTGCCATCCCACCCTTGGCCAGGGTACCACCTGCACCTTCTGTCTGGCCTCTCACTGTCCGCAGTTTCATCTGGCCTGGTCTGTTCTCCACAGGCAGCTGCATGGCCTCTGCATATCCAACTCTGTCCCTTCTCAGTCTCCCCTTGGCCCTTCATCTCTGGCCAGTTCCTCCTCTGGAGGTCCTAGCTCCAGCCAAGAGGAACTTCTTTGTCCCCTGAATACACCCTGCTTTTCCAAGCCTTCACATCTTTGCACAGGCTGTTCTGTGCATCTTTTCCCTCTTTCCTTCACCTGGATAACTCCTGCTTACCCTTTAGGTATCAGTTCAGACACCCCTTCTGTGAGATACCTTCCCTGGACCTCAGGCTCGGTCAGGAGCTTCTTCTTCGCCCTCGTAATGACCTATGCTTCTCCCATCACAGCCTTTACAACCTCTTCTGAAAGGGCCAACTGCTCCTCAGGGTGCTGCACACCAAGGCCAGGTTCAGGTCGAGTCACTCTGTGCCTGATTTCCAGCCTCCTGGATCTCAAAACTTATCAAGTGCAAAGGGAACAAGGCCATGCGGGTAGGTCACCACAGTGAGCCAGTGGCCAGGCTGGGGTGGGACCCAAGACTCTTACCTTCCCCTCCAGGGCTCCCTTGTTCCCCTGGATGCCATTGTGAGCTGAGTCAGGATCCCCGAGAGCCACGAGGACCTCTACCATCAGAGAGTCGGCAGGCTCTTGGCCTATGGGGAAGGCCCCCATCGGCCCAGGCTCTTGAGAGCCCAGGGTAGAGCTGGGAGAAGCTTTCTCAGAGAGGGGACTGGTATGCAGGTGACCCAGGCCAGTGCATCTGATGAAAAGGTTAATGAGATTATCTTCTCCCACAGAGTCTGCAGTGGGAGTACGGCCCCGAAGTCATGCAGGGAGGGACAGAATTCCTGAAGGGTGGTGGTGGCAGCTGTTAGGGTCCCCAGGCTAATTACCTCCAACGTCACACAGAAGAGAATGTGCTGAGGTGGGACGTCCCCCACTCGGCCTCAGCTTCTCGGAGCACAGGTCTCCCCAGGACTTATCTGCTCCCCACCAGACTGAAGTCTGAAGATCACCATCTCGATGTTCCTGTAGGCCTCAGCTCCCTCACCTGCTCCAGTGTCAAAGGACTCCAGCCCCTGAGATTGCTTTGTGGGGTCTCACCTTTGGGCCTTTGGCCTTGCTGTGCCCTCTGCCTGCTCCATAGCTGGGCCCAGCCCATGTGCTCAGGGGGCTCAGTAAACACTGGTGAATTGAATCACTCTGCAAATAAACAGAAAGTGTCAAACAGGCCGCCTGACACTTAGGAGATCCTCCTCCCCAGATTTGCTAAGCAAACAAACAACACAAAAATGAGAGAAGAGAAAGGACCCATCCAATCTTTCCTTGTGCTTCTGTTCCCAAAGCTACACTCCTCTAACTTCTTCCAAACAGCCTTGCTTCCTCGGTTCCAGGCCTGAAGTTTAGCCTGTCTTTCTTTGTGTCTGGACAATCCTACCCTCGGCGTCAAGAAGCCCTCCCGGATCCCCACAGTGGCTGCACCCCACCCCTCTTCTTTCTTGTCACTTAGCGAAATGCAATGACTTGCTGGATGGGCCAGGAACCATGGTGCCTCACTCACTACTGTCCACCCACCACAGGAACTTGATATTTATGCTCAATAAATATCTCAATATCTGCCAAACTATGAATGACTGCAGCCCTCCCAACACTGGGATAGTTCTCCCTTTCTGAAGGGGCCTGGATAATGTTCTGTGTCAGTGCCATCTCCGTTGGTTATTCCGAATTGCCCAAAGGCACCCGTTCTCCCCTGAGCTCCATCTGGCTCCTCGCTATTAATAGTTCTCTAGTCTTTCTCGCCGTTATTTTCCTCCTCCAGTTCCCCCAAGGCCACAGAGGCTTGACAGTTTCACACGAAAGCTGAGAACCTTCCCCAAGATTCTTCCTCACTTATTTCCTGGAATCTGCTTTCCATCGCTCTTGGCTTCTGAAGCCAGTGACTCACTCACCGAAGCTGGAGTCTCTTTCTCGCAGTGATTGCTTGGAGGAAATGTGAGAGGATCAGGTGACTTCATCTTTCACCTCCACCCCTCTCTTATCTAAAATTCCGGGTTTGTTGCGTTGTGAGAGGCTGTGAAATTGGTTTTCCCTCCGACATAGTCCTCCTTAAGCCGGGGCCCTTGTACCCCCAGGGGCTCACCCCAGGGTGCTTGTAGAGTTTCCAAGATCCCCGGACTCCACAGGACACAAAATCACCTTTGTTTCCTCGCTAAGCTTCCACATAACGACAACCTCAGGCTCTCCATGGAAATCTAGAAAACTGTACAAATACATCCAAGGCACTTTTTTTTTAAAAGATTTTATTTATTTATCTTTACAGGGGAAGGGAAGGAGAGAGGGAGAGAAGCATCAATGTATGGTCGCCTTTCGTGCGTCCCCTGCTGGGAACTGGCCTTCAGGAAACTGGCCTGCAACCCCGGTATGTGCCCTGACTGGGAATTGAACCGTCATTATCTGGTTCGCAGGCCCGCACTCAATCCACTGAGCTATACCAGCCAGGGCTCATCCAAGGCACTTTCAAGGTGCCAAGCCTTCTCATCCTCCCTAGCCACCAGAGATCACACATGCACATCCTTTCTGTTCGTAATAATTTCTTAAAAAAAAAAAGGATGTTATTTATTTATTTTTAGAGGGGGGAAGAAAGGGATAAAGAGAGAACAAGAAACTTCGCTGTGAAAGAGAAACATTGACCGGTTGCCTCTCATACCTGCCTTGACCAATGTGCCTCATTTGGGGACCAAACCCGCAACCCAGGCACGTGCCCTGCCTGGGAATCGAACCGATGACCCTTTGGTTCACAGGCTGGCGCTCAATCAACTGAGCCGCACCAGCCAGGGCTCAGGCTTTTAAATAAAGTTTGAAAAACAGTGCTGGAGGAGTCCAATAACATCATCACCATCATCATCATCATCAACAGTATGTAGTGACAATAGCCATCACTTTTGAGGGCTTAATATGTACCAGACACAGCTACTCTCTCTCTGTCTCTTTCTCTCTTGGAATCATGGCAAACGCATGTCAAGGCAGCCTTATGTCCTGTAAGTTCTTTACTCTGCCCATCGCTTGGAACCTTTGATTGGAGCATAATTTGTGGGACTCAGGGCAAAATAAAAATGCAGAGTCCCCTGTTCAAAATTATTATGAAGTTCGAGATGGCTGCGGCAGAGCATTAAACAACCTCGGGACACTTTTGACCAGGAAGCCCTGTGGAACTACACAGCTCTCAGGCCCTGCTTTCACCTCTGAATAACTAGGTTCATTACTCAAACTCTTGTCCATTGGGAAGATTCCCCGAACCGCTGGGGGTATAGCAAAGAGCAGTTCATTTTGTCTCCTTCATCCCAAGACAAAACATCCTTAAACTAAGCTTGGGCTTTCTCTCCTTCCCTTAGCTTTCGAGATGTGAGCTGAGTGAGGGCATCAGGGCAACGGTGGTGGGTGACTTTGGTGTTTGAGCTGCCTGTTCATACACATCACTTGTACTCTTTGTTTCTGCCTGAGCTTGGGCTGGGTTACGCATCTAAATAATGACGGGTTTGCTGTTCGGCCCGGCCAAGCTAATGATGTTGTGGCCCTGCCTGTACTCAGTTCATGACCTCAGTTCTAGCCACATGGTCACATGATAACCCGTGATTATGAAGTCAGTCAGTACCGAGGTCAGGAATTAGTTTTCTAACACTGTAGAAGCGTTCTGTAATGCCGATGGCCTGGTGGTCACCAGACCAAGAGGTCTTCCCTGTGACTCTCTCTCTGGGCCTTGCCCGAGGCTCCCTGCGAGTCTTCCTCGGACGTGCAGGGTCATTTGGCTCAAGTGGCGAGGCTGCTCACACTGCAGCCCGAAACTGCAGCAGAGCCTGTACTTGTTCTAGAAATCACTCAGAATCAGCACCCTTCCACACACCTGATAGATGGATCCGAACAGTAGGCCAAAATGTTATAATTTTCCCTCTAAAACCCAAACAAGAACAGTGGTAAAAGAAAAAACAGGGGAAAAAATAGAAAGCAAAGAGTAACATTGTAGAACTAAACCAACCATGAAAAACAGGTAAAGATGAGATCTAAATGTAATTAAAATGCCAGGTAAAGGGCAAAGATTCTGAAATGAATGAAAAAGCAAGATCCACCTACATGCTGTCTTTGCACCCACTTTAAATATAAAGACATAAATGAGCCAAAAGTAAATGGACGAGTAAAGATACCTCACGCTAACAGTGAGCACCAGAAAGCTGCAGTGGTTTTATTACTATCAGAGAAGGCAGACATTAAGAGAATGGGCGGTACCCAAGCTAAAGAGGGAAATCCATACAGATAAAGGATCCCTTCACCAAGAAGTCATCATAATCATACATATGTATATATTTAGTATAACGGAACTTCAAAGTAGCTGAAGAAAAGAACTGACAGAAAAAAAGGAGGAACCAGACTAATCTATAATAGTCACTGAAGATTTTTGCACCCCTCCCCCACCAGTGGATAGGACAGCGAGACTGAAAAAGGAGGTAAAACACACAGACCAGAAGAACACTGTCAACTACGCGGACATCACTGACATTTGTAGAACAGCGACCGCAGCGGCTGCAGCAGCCCAGTTCTCTCCCAGCAGACGTGGCACCGTCGCCATGGCAGACCGTAGGTTCACCCGTCGAACAATTTTAACACAATTTGAAGGACCTACAGAGAAGGTTCTCTGGCCACAATGGAAGGAAGTTAAAACAGATAACAATGAGACCTTTAAATATTTGGAAATTATAAAATACACACCTAAAGAATCCATAGGTCAGAGGAGACAATTGAGAACATATTCCAAATGGAATGATAATAAAAACAAAACATATGAAAACTTGTGGGATGTGCTGGAGCAGTAGTTAGAGGAAAATGTGTAGCTTAAAACACATTGTAGAAAGAAAAGTAAAGTGGGGATGAGTCTCCCAACATTCTCATGCCTTTGTGGTTACAGTGCAGAGTACGAGGATTGCATAAAGGGACTCCTTCCCTGGTTCCTTGCCTACTGATTCTCCCCTCCCTTCCACATGGTTGCCCAGAACATCATTCTAAAACACAAGTCTGCTTGTGTCACTCCCCCACTCTAAACCTGCCCATGGCTCCCCATTGCTTCAAGGTGAAATTCAATGCCCACCTTGTAAAACTGGCCTTTTATGTTCTCGCTCCCATTCACCTTCACCTCTTGTTCTATGACCTGTTTGCCCCTGTGCTGCATCCAGCTTCCTGAATGCTCCTTTGAAATAACAAATTTTCTCTCCCTCTTTTTTTTTGCCCTAGCATTAGGGTTGCAAGATAGAATGCAGGGCTCCCGTTAAACTTTAATTTCAGAGAAATAATGAGTAACTATGGTGCATGGGACAGATATACATATATTTGAAAAGTATTCACTGTTTATCTAAAGTTCAAATTTAACTGGGAGTTAAATTTTTATTTTTTATTTGCCAAATCTGGCAATCTCACCCAGCGCGAGCACATGGTGTTCCATCTGTCCCCTCCCTGCCACTCTGCATGGCCAACTCCTGTTCCGGAGCCAGGTGTCAGCTTGGAAACTGCCTCCCCCAGGAACACAGTTCTCACTGCCCCTCCCTCAGGCTGAGGCCACGGTCCTCTCTGAACTGCGCCTGAGCTGTGCCCACCAGGTAGGGTGGTCTAGCTCCCTCACTGATGACCCCTCAACCCCTGGTGTAGTTAGTGTCTAGCACTCGGTGGCCACTCAGGAGGTGCTGGTTAAGGAATAAGTGCCGTTCTAGGTCCTAGCACTAGGGATCCAGAGCTGGTTCATTTTTTACCTTCCAAGCCTGGGGCCCCCAGTTTGCAGGGGGTGGGGTGGGAGGAGGGCAGGATGCATCAGTTCTCTATCACTGCAAACAACTCCAAAAGTTAGTGACTTGACAGCAATCAATCATGCAGTTTGCCCACAAATGTGCAACCGAGCAGAGCTCAGCAGGGACAGCTTGTCTGTGCTCCACATCAGCTGGGGCTGGAGGGTCCACTTCCAAGAGGATTCACTCATGTGACTCTCAAGTTGGTGCTGTGTGCCACTTCTCTCCACACGTGCCTCTCCACAGGGTGGAGCTTGTGCTTCCTCGCAGCATGGTGGCTGGGTCCCAAGGGCAAGTATTTTAAAAGAGGTAGGAAATGGCAGATGTCAGTTTTTCTCAGCCTGCATCTGAATACTGGTAATGGGTCACTCCTACCCTGTTCTACTAGGTAAACAGTTGCAGAGCCCGTATTCAAGAAGCGGGGGTGCAGACCCCATCTCTTAATGGGACAAGTGCTACAGAACTTTGTGGCCATGTTTTAAAGCCACCACAGGAGATCATACAAAAAGAAATTGACACAGCTCATCATCTGCACCCAGTTTGGGTGAATGATGGTACAGAGGATGCCCTTCTCTTTAAGGGTCAGTGAGTAGCATGGGACGGAAGTGTCCAGGGTAGTCCTGGAGCAAGATAGGGCAACAGGGGGCTGAGTAAAAGAGAGGGAGAGGGAGAGATTGAGGAGAGTAGATGAGAGATAAGGACCCTTCCCTTGAAGGCTGAAGGACCCGAGCAACTCAGCCAGTGCAGACACTAAATCAATCCCATCCGAATGGAAGACGCTCAGTTGGCACTTGTTATGGGTCCCCTGGGCTGCTGTAAACAGAAATTTTGAAACTGAGTTCTTTTCATTTGGTTTTGAAAAAATTAAATCTATTGAAAGTTGACATCGTAATAAAATAAACAACCCGCACACCTGTCACCTTGTGTCACTAGTGGCTAATATTTTGCCACATTTGCTCTTTCAAAGTAAGTTACAAACGAGACATTGCTTCCCCAGAGCCTTCAGCCCGCACCCTGCCTCTCCCCAGTGGCACGCTTTCTGCACTGGTGCTTCTCCGTGGGGGGGCAGATTTTGTCCCCCAGGGGACATTTGAGAATGTCAAATGAAGACATTTTAAATTACATTTCTATTGAGAAACATTCGCTTAATATAACATTCACTGTTTTAATCGTTGTAAAGTGCACAGTCCAGTGTTTTGGTATATTCATGACATGATGCAAACATTACTATCTAAAATATTTTTGCTTGCTGCAGTCCAAGGGGCCGTGCTCCTGACATCTAGTGGGCAGAGGCCAGAAATACTGCTAAAACCCCAGAACCATTTGGTCCACAGTGTCATGTATTGAGGTCGAGAAACCCTGCTTTTCACGACGTCAGCATCATCGTCGTATCTAAGGAAGTCGACAGTAACTCAGCGGTGCCATTCTCACTTATGTCAAGAACGTCTTTTTTAAAAAAGAGAGAGAGAAAAAATGTCATGTTAGCATTTAAATTTGAGTTCAGGCGGTCGGGTTCGGGCATTGCATTTGGTTCTATCTCTTTAGTCTATTTTGATGCAGAAGAGCACTCTCGGCTCCCCACTCAACCTCTTTGTTCGTCTGTGTCGCTGTTACCTTTTTTTTTTTTATAGTTCAGCCCTCTTTTATAGCATCATATTATGGATTTATGTGGTTTCTTCCTCAAGATTAGGTTCGGGTTACACATTCTTGGCAGAACACTCCACTGGTGATGATTGCATCGATTGTATCACATCAGGAAGCCCATAATATGAGGTGCCTGTGTTATTTACGATGTTGACATAGGATGATAATGTAGCTCGGAAGACAGAGCAAGGTGTAGCCTCCCACATCCCGCCCACCCAAGTGTGGCATGCAGGTGGCCGACTGGTTGGCTGGGCCTTGCTGAATAATAGCCACAGCCTGGGGAGGATGACTGTCACTCAGGGGAAGTCCTCAGGCTCTCTTCCCTCTTCTTCGCTGCCCCACCTTCAAGGGTCAAGGGGAAGGTCCCAAGAATTGGGCTTCCCTTTGCTATGGCAGGTTGGCTGGGAGGATTTGGAAGGACTTCTGGGACTTCAGCTGTTCCTCGGTTTCCAAGAAGAAAACTAGAGGGCGGAAGTGAGCAGAGTCCCTAGAGTCTGGAACCCGGAAGTCAAGGGTTCGGGCCAATGAGGGTCAAAGGGTCATAAGGCAGGAAACTGCAGGGCCTGTTAGCATTCCTGTGGTGAACAGCTGTGCAAAAGCTATACTGGAAGTCACTCCCTCCCTTCTCCCCTTTGGGAAGCCCCCTCCACCTTTAGGAATGCTCCTCTTAAACACCACCTCCTCCAAGAAATCTACCAGGACTGCAGGAAGAAAGAAATCGCTCCTGTTCTCCGAGCAGCACTTCAGGCCGGAAGCACGTCGGGGACGCAAGTTCTGCATCATTTCACTGGCAGTGGGAACCTGACACCACTTTTTCTGAGCCAACATGTAAAGCATGGAAAAAAATCCGTTTTCTGGCTTTTCTGAGTCTGTATTTCTGCCTGTCATCGATGGCGTTCCCTCACAGACGAAGGGTGCACTCTCACACCTTCCCACGGAGTCCAAGTGCGGCTCTGAGGGTTTCTCCTGCACCCTGGCCGACGCCAACGCAGAGAAGCCTTTGTCTGGACCTGCGTCTCTGGAAAAAAAGAAAAATGTGACCGTGAAAGTGAGGTCAAAGGGTCATGTGCTACAGGGAAAATAGGAGCAGGCACATTTCTTCGTGGATTTGAAGAATATTCCTGCATACGTACAACACAAAGTAGGTCTATGTTAAAAAATATATGTATAATGCCCAGCGCCATTGTGTCTCAGCATCATGGCTACGGCTGGGGGGAAGTTCACTGGCATGTTAGACTCCTCAGTTTGGCTCACTTGGTCCCATGACTTAGTGTTGTGATCTCATACAAAACTGTGGCAATACCCAAATGTCTCTGCAGTGTAACCCTTTCCTGGTTGCTCAAATACAGTCCCACTACTTATCCTTGTTTCAGAACACCTGAGCATGAGACTTTCAAGGTTGTGTTGAGGCAGAATGAAGTCCCACATCTAAAATCATTTTTTTTCCTGGGTTGGAAATTTTTCCAAAGTCAATTTAAACCTGGCTCCCAAGGGCAGATTGCTGGCCCAGATGACCCCCTCTGCCCGCAAGGCCACCGCAGGGGCCAGGCTATGGAGGTCAGGCCTTTCATGGAAGTCACAGGCTGATCTTTGGGGATGCTCAGGGCCCAGAGGGCTCAGCTAAGGTCGAGGCAGTGCCATGAGGCCTCACCCAGATCAGAGGAATTCACCATGCGTTCTCTAGGAAACCTAACAATGGCTTAAACAAATTTTTGTTTTGTGTTTGTCTCATGAATATAATATCAGGACAGCCCAGGGTCGGAGCGACTGCTTCACAATAGCACCGAGGCAGAGTGCTTTTCTTTCTGCCATCCTGAGCAAGGTAGTCTGTCCCCAAAGGTGTTCCTTCGTGGTTGGCTCCTGCAGCTCTAAGCATATATTCACGTTCTGGGCAGGAACTCAAAGGGAAAAGAAGCAGAAGGGGGAGGCACCTCTGCCAGTGTCAACAAAAGGTTGCTGCCACCAATCTAATGCCAACAGGAGTCCCCAGTCTGGGGTGTGGTCAAAGGAGAATCTTTATTCACATAAACAGTTTGCAGACTGAAGAGAGCCAGTCTCCCAGAGGAAACTGAAGGCGTTCTGCAGAGACAAAGGGGATGCCCACTTTATAGAGAAGTTCCCACCCTGGGCCCTGGCTGATCCATGTCTATGCAAATGAGGAATCCAAATCTGTACAGTCTGATTGGTCCAAATAGTATTGGCCTGATTGGTTGGAATCATGCGTCCAGATTTTCATGATGGAGCTGTTCTGATTGGTCAGTAAGATGCAAATGAGGCAACCAGCTGTGTCTGCCACAACAAATCCTTATAAAATCAGGAGGCACTGAAACCAGCCCTACTTCTGAATTGTTCAACTATATGAGCCAATAAATTATTTTTCTAATTTAAGATTTTAAAAAAGATTTTATTTATGTTTAGAGAGAGGGGAAGGGAAGGAGAAAGAGAGGGAGAGAAACACCAACGTGTAGTTGCCTCTCATGTGCCCCCTACTGGGGACCTGGCCTGCAATCCAGGCATGTACCCTGACTGGGAATCAAACCTGTGACCTGTTAGCTCGAAGGCCAGTGCTCCGTCCACTGAGTCACACTAGCCAGGGCTAATTTAAGATAGTTTGAGTCAAGCTTTCTGTTCATTACAACTGACATCATTTCACTGATACTGTTTGTTTTTCCTTTCACTACTTTTATTAGGCATAATAAAAGACAACAACCACTAGCATACTGCTTTTTTTCACATTCGCGTGGATTTTAGGAAATTATTGCCTTCCCCCACCCCCATAGTCATAACCTAGAGTCAAAAAAGTAGCAACACATTGCGAACTCTGCAAACCTCAGAAGTCAACAGCTTGAAGACAACCCCCAGGGGCAGGGAAGAAAAACAAGTGTCACGAGAGACAGACAAACATAGATACGAACAGAAAGCTGGGGAAAAGGGCATTTTCTGTGCCACTGACTCAGAAGTAGGTTCCCTTTTTCTCCCGGCCCCCACCCATTGTCGCCACCTCAGAGGGTTGATTTTTTGGTCTGTAGTCTGAAGAACTCTTTTCAAATGACACAAGGGTTATTTTAAGGCGAGGCGCAATGAGAAAGGTTCAAGCATGAGTAAGAGTCACGCCAAAGTCCAAAGCCAGGAAAGAACCCACAATGAAAAGGAAACCTGTGTAATCACCACCCAGATCAAAAGATAGTTGTTCCCTCTTATCCCCAGGGGATCTGTTCTAAGACCCCCAGTGATGCTGGAAACCATGGGTAGTGCCGCTTTTTTCCTTAAAAAAAATTTTTTAATGTATTTATCTTTAGAGGGGAAGGGAAGGAGAGAGGGAGAGAAATATCAATGTATGGTTGCCTCTCGTATGTCCCCGCTGGGAACTGGCCTGCAACCCAGGCATGTGCCCTGACTAGGAATCGAAATGCGATCCTCTGGTTCGCAGGTCCGCGCTCAATCTACTGAGCTACACCAGCCAGGGCTGCTTTTTACTTATACATATATACCTATGGTAAAGCTAAATTTATAAATTAGGCACCGGAAGAGACTAACAACAATGACTAATAATAAAATGGAACTATAACAGTATATTGTAATAAGAGTTACGCGAGCATGGTCTCTCCCTGTCAAAACACCTTATTATACTCTACACACTTTCACTGATAGGAAGCACTTTGTGGCTTCTCTCTTTTTTTTTTTTTAAAGATTTTATTTATTTATCTTTAGAGGGGAAGGGAAGGAGAGAGAGGGAGAGAAACATCAATGTGTGGTTGCCTTTTGTGCGTTCCCTGCTGGGAATTGGCCTGCAGGGAACCGGCCTGCAACCCTAGGTATGTGCCCTGACTGGGAATCGAACCGCGATTGTCTGCTTCGCAGGCCTGTGCTCAATCCACTGAGCTACGACAGCCAGGGCTTCTCTTTTTTTAAAAATAATTTTATTTAGTTATTTTTCAAGTACAGTTTTTTGTCTATTTCTCCCATCCCAGCCCCCCCCCGCCCTGTGCTCCCCACCTCCCTCCTATTTCCACCCCCCTTAGTTCTTGTCCTTGTGTCCTTCATATTTGTTCCTCCAAATCCCTCCCCTTTTTCCCCCTTAAATTCCCTTCCCTCTCCCCTCTGGTCACTGTCCCCGTGTTCTCTATTTCAGTGTGGCTTCTCTTTGACGCACCAAACTGTCAGCATCACTACCGTGGCACTCTGGGGCCCTTACTGAATAAAATAAGTGTTACTGGAACACAAGCTCTGTCAGACCAAGCTGGCTGCTTGCGGGCGGGCAGCTCTATAGCGTGGCTCCCCTGGACAAAGGGATGATTCATGTCCGGGGCAGGATGAAGTGGGGTGGCATGAGATTTCATCATGCTGCTCAGAACAGCATGAGATTTTAAACGGAAGAATTGTTTATATCTGGAATTTTCCGTTTAATATTTTTGGACCTCAGTTGACAGCAGGTAACAGAAATCTTGGAAACTGAAGCCTCAAACAAGGGGCAATGAGTGTACAAAATATTTCCAGCACCAAACAAGGGGGACTAGTGTACAAAATATTTCCAGCACTGCAGAAGTCTCCCTCATTTCCCTCCCTCAGTCACTATTCAGAGTTCTATTACCATTTATCATAGTTTTGCCTGGTTTGGAACATCATGCGAATGGAATCACTCCATACTTACCATTCTGTGCCTGGCATCTTTCGTTCAGTCTTATGTCTGTGAGATTCATCAATGTGGTATATACTATTTCATTCATTTTTTAAAATTGCTTTTGTTTCCATATATATATATATATATATATATATATATATATATATAATTTGTCCATTGGAGGGGTATTTGAATTGTTTTTAGCTTTTAGCTCTTATGAGTAAAGTTGCTGAAAATATTCTACACATGCCTTTTACTAGACACTGCACTAATTTTTTCTTGGGTTTGTACCAAAGAGTAAACTTGCTGGGAAGAAGGTCAGGTGTAGTAGTTATAGTGAACACTACAGTTTGCCAATTTACCTCTTACCAGTTCTAGTTGCTGAATATCCTTGACTACACTTAGTATTGTCAATCTTTTTCATTTTAGCCAATCTAGTCAGTGTATAGTAGTAACTCACTGTGGTTTTAATTTGCATTTCTCTATGGATTAAATTTCTCCCATGATATTGAACACCTTCCCACATGCTTATTGGCCATTTGGAAATCCTCTTTTGTGAAGGACCAGTTCAATTCCCTTTTCCTCAATGATGATGGAATTCTTTACATATTTTGCATGACTATGTTTTTTGAGCGTATGTATTGCAGCATTCTTTTCTTTTGACTCTCTTAATTATCTTTAATTAATGACTAGAAGGTCTTAATTTAAATGATCTAAATGATCAAAATTTGATGGTTAGTACTCTGTCTTGTTTAAGAAATCTTTGCTTATTTCAAGGTTATGAGAATATTTTTTCTGTAAGCTTTATTGTTTTACCTTCACAACTATGTTCATGATCCATGTTATTTTTGTGGAGGCTGCAAGGTACAGGTAAAACAGTCACTCACTCCAACACCATTCATTGAAAATATCTTTCCCTCACTTAAAGAAGATTACATAATTTATTGTCAACCATTCTTTTATAACAGATGTACCTAAAATATTTGCATTGCTTTAGCTGCATCCCATAAGTTTTGGTACATTGTGTTTCATTTTCATTCAGTTTGAAACTTTCCATTTTCCTTGTGATTTCTTCTCTGATTCATGGAGTATTTAGAAATGTCTCTGACAGTATAAGGACACTTAGCACAGCTCTGGCAGCCAACTCAGCCCACGGCCTCATGGGGGATGAGCTGAGGGTGGGTGGAACGGCTGCTTGCTTTTGTCTGCGCTTCACTCCCCACCAGAGCTCTGTGGGTGGGTGAACTGTTTCCACAATCAAGAGGTGTGTTGGGAGATACCATAGAGCAGTATGTCTGATGTACCTTCCTGCCCCAGACACACACACACACACACACACACACACACACACACACCATCTTTCTCTAGCTCTAAAACATTCCCTGGACTATATGAGGAAGAAAGGAAAGCCAGCAAGCCCCTTCCTAGTTGAGTGATCCCAGACACTTAACCTCTAAGCCTCAATTTCCTGATGTTTAAAACGGGGATGACGATGATTAGCTCAATGTTCTGCTGAGAGTCAAATGCATGAGATGGGGATCTTGCTGTGGAGCATTGGATAAACGTGCAGCAAGTAAAGGGATGAGACAGGGAGGAAAACTTGCCTCTATGCCAGACCCTGATACAAAGTCTGGCTTTGGGCAGAGTTGGGAGGAGGACCCTTACCAGGGCTTGGTAAACAGTTTATGGCCTACTGCTAGCAGGGGAGGGGGCACCCTGTGAGCTCCTCCTTCTATGCTGGGCTTGGGCTCTGGTGCAGAGGAGATGGCTGTGCCCCGGGCGGGGGGGGGGGCTGGTTGAAGCTAGAAGGTTATCCTTT